TTGTTTCTTTAGCTTTTCTCTTAGCTTTAAAGCCAACCTAGATAAACTTTTCATTTAAACGTACTCATCATATTTAGCTGTTGTATAAGAACGCAGTATATATGAGTCCAAAATGGTATAAAGTGCTAAAATCTAACATTATTTGGCCGAGATATTCCAAAAAATCATCAAAAAGGTTGGACTTCACAAACGAATCGTCTTTTGGTCAACAACTTTTTTTAACCCATTAATTTTTTAATTTCTTTGAATGCCAATTGATAGTAGGGATCCGTACGAATTAAAAAATGTATAACACTTCTAAATCAGACGATATTTACCCGAGATATTCAAAAATATCAACAACAACATTTTGATTTTCAAACCAACCCTGATTTTAAGAAAAAACGTGATGTTACCCCTTGATTTTTTGTCGATTAGTGTCAAAATTAAGATTTTGATTTTTTGAATACCAATCGATAGTACTGATCCTTACGAGTCGAAAATGGTATTAAGTACTAAAATCTGACATTATTTGGCCGAGATATTCCAAAAAAAACGTCAAAAAAGGTTGACTTTACAAACGAATCGTTTTTTGGTCAATAACTTTATTTAACCCATCGATTTATCCCAAACTCAAAATAAAATATGCAAACTAGTATGTTGTAGATCAGATTTGTATTATTTAAAGATATATTGATCAATCAGATCAATATCGAAGTTCAGTATTCTCCTCACACACCTGCAAGACCATAATTCTGCAAGGGTATTTAATCTACGGCGTAGTGAAATAGCAAAAAATATTGTTTTTTTTTAATTATTCATGTTTTATAATTTGATAAATTAAATATAAATATATAGTGAATTAAGTAGAGGTTTTTCGCAAATGTTGTCAAGTGAAACTAAACATTTAAATGCTTCAATATACTTGAATTAAACTGTCTAGTGGAAGGCAGCTTGGAGTGGTGGTTAAATTGGAGCAGAGCCAATAAATCACAATGCTTAGGCCAATTTTCGGTACGTCGAGTTCGAGTTCGCGTTCGAGTTCGAGCTGTGCACTTAGTACCCATGTCCCGTAGATGTCCAGCCAGTTGTCCCAGGTCGGCTGTCAAACATAATCACCTTGAGCCGCAAGTGCACCCGAAAACGACGGGCACGGCAGACACCCTCTCGCATCGGGGTCCAAGTTTTTTTGTAGCGTCTGTCTCGACGCAAACGAATCTATTCTCAAAGGGAATTTATGCCGTTTGTCTCAGTGTGAATGAAATATTTTATTTTGGTTTTTATTATGGCCGCCCAGTTTCAGTTTTTAACACATTGTAGAGAATTTTTGTAATTTCAACACGTTGCAACAACCGAGGGCGAAAACTTTTGGCAAGCCCAAAATGTTGTCCAAATTTTCGCCAGTGTCCACATCTCGGACACAAATGATTAATGTGCTGGCAGTTCTCAACGGCAAATAATAAATTGTTTTCTTTTTTTTTTGCGTTTTTCTCAGTTTTTTATATAAAAAACACAGACAGGGGTTTATTTGAACGGGGGAGCATGAAAACTGCCCTGTCACCATTTGCTGAAACGCTTTCATTTAATCTTTTATCATAAACGTGTTCAAAATTCGAAAAATATGTTTTCTAGTCAAACTCTAATCGAAACTTACATTTGTCGCCCAATCACACTTTAATAATTGTTATTTTCTGTACAAATAGCAAACAAGTAGTCCGACTTTCGACTGAACTCTTTGATAACCGATAAAAAGCGTATAATGACAGAATATCGATTTTGAGACATTATTTTTATGAACATAGCTCGATAGTTATAAGAGCCAGATACACGAAACTCAGTTTGCATGCTCTTAAATACCGCCCTTCAATCCGTTTAAACACAAGTTTTCAGAGTATATTCTAGTCGGACATTCCCGACTGGAGCAGTTTTACATGTTGTTTTTTTACTTCATGATATAAGATAATATTGGTAATGAAGTTCAAATCTCTTGTCCATGAAAAACTATCTTATGGGAATAATTAAAGCAAAAACAAGAAAAAAAAACTGTCTTTGTCACGCCGAATAGTTAGTACCCTTATAGACAGCTGGTTAAAGTCTTTGCAGATGCGTGAGAATAGTGAAGCTTGTAAATGCTTATTAACTTTTAAATATCTTGAAAAACAGAATATTTTGCAATACTGGAGCTCATTTTTCGATTGGTTCTTCCTATATAGCTATATAGTTTATAAAAAGTAGAAAAACCGAACTATGCGACATTTTCAGGATAAGGCTCTTAAAACTGAGAGTAAAGAGAGAGAGAGAGAGAGAGAGAAAGAGACGGACAGACGGACATGGCTATATCAACTCGGCTGTTGATACTGATTAAGAATTTATATACTTCATGGTGTCGGAATTAAAACATAATTAATTATTATTTGTTCCACGTTGCGCCTCTTACCTTCTTGTAAACAGTATAATATATATTATGTATAATATGTATTATATATAATATGTATTAACAGTCCGAAAGTGGAATAAAGACAATTCCGATAAAGCAAAAGGAAAGTTTATCAGAAGCAAAACTTAGTTTCTGATTTCTTGCACGTCACAAATATATTGAATAAAAGTTATTTAATGATAGAAGTTGTTGGAATATATTGTAATTATATGAATTTTTATTGGCTTGTGTAAAAAATGTAAAATTGCCCTAGTTGGGTGTGCCCAACTAATACATGCTCTATATCTAGCTATAAAAAGCAGCAATACTGGCACCATGTGATTTTTCTGTTCCCTATTCTACCTTTAAACAAAAATGTATAGATAAATTGCTTTTTTACTTCTTATCCGATCGTTAAATTATTATTCTTTGGCTTCAATGTGGCCATACTTGAGTAAAGCTTAATATATATGAGAAACTAAATGTCAATTTTATGACTCAAGATTACTTCGGAGTTTTTGACGAACTTAGCTTTTATGGCAGGCAATTAACATTGCTAACTAGTTCTTTGACAATCTAATACTCAGAATCTACTTACAAGTAGCTAAGTGTTTTCAACGGCAATGACAGAACACCAAAATACCTATCACATAATACAATGTGTGATCTAGTGCCAAATTTAAATAGACGTTCACAAAGTGAAGAGGGAAAATAGGTTTTGTGCAATGTCCGTCCGTTTGAACGCAATTATTTTCGCCACTAATGCAGTTAAAGTCTTGAAACTTGGGATATAGTCCTATATACCCTCGCTAACTGTAGTGTGATAACTAAATAAACTAAATAACAAATTTGAATTGGAGGTCATAAAATTGACATCTCTTAAAATATTTGCTAGTAGGCTGTTTTAATATGTTATTGGACACCGGACTGCAATGCTTTTACTTGTTGTATCCTTGTAGACGAATGAACATTTTCCCATGATAATTGTAAAGCAGATAAATGAAGCATCCTATAAAATATATATATACTCTTAATAACAAAGGCATTTTTATAGAACGTGACGTAGGCTCATCTTTCTGTTTCAGGCAGTAGATATCGAAGATATCGGCTGGATCGAAACAATATACCATGTAGCTGGAATAGAAATGAACGATCAAAAATTATTATTAATTTGTAAATATTCGTTCTTTCTTGTTTCTGTTGTTGCAGTGCCGGGTAATTTTTGGCTAGTATTAGTGCGTATTTATGCAAATGTTTAATCAAATTAATTAGTTACTGTGAATATTGTTACGCTGCAAATGATTAATGGCTAACAAATTAAGTTATTATTAAACATTTTGCTCATGAGGAACTAAGAATAATCAAATATTCATAAATATTATGTACAACAGTCAAATTCATTTTATTTATTTAGTTTTTTAAATTAAAATTGCAATCTGTTACTTGAGTCATGGTTATAAGGTATCTCCTAGTCGAGCACTCTTGGCTAAAGCATTCTGACTTGTTTTTATAAGGAGTAGCTTTACCGTTGCACGAGTTTGTATATTTGATGTTGTATAAGAAATTGATATTCAACAATAATCGAATTATAAATTCACATAATATTATCATTCGGGTGTTTAATGTCGCAAACATTTAAATCGATTTGTTAATTAGTGCGTCGAACAGCGTTAATCGAGTTTATTAAATTAGCAAATTAGGAATAGAGCTGGTTTAAATATAGTGTTGCATATTGAATGAGGTATCTAGCTCCACGCGACACTCTGAAGAAATCCAAAGCATATAAGATCTTCGATCTTCCATCTAGGATAACTTACTCCCAGACAGTAAGTATTAACGGCATTTCAAACAATTCATTTATATTTATACAAAAAAAAAGAAAAGGTTATTGCCCGAAACAGCAAAATAAGTTAAGTCCACAAATAAGGTCAGCGAAAATAAATTCAACACTCAAACCACAAGAGTCCACACTTGGCCAAAATACAAAAAAAAAAAAAAAAAGCTTTCAACGCGAACCCAATGCTCAGTACTCTGAGAGAGCCTCACGTGGATGAACAGCCGATGTAGCCCTGAGCAAGCTTGCTGAATAATAATAAGAAAACAAACAAAAAACATCAAAAAAGTTAAAGCCAAAAACAAACAAATCGGGTTTGGCAAAATCCCCCAATATTCCAAATTAACGGGCACCTACTATTCCCGATCTCGTTCCGCAAGTTTTCTTTATTAGCATGCGAATATGCGTCTATGATTTTAGTCTGCCTTCAAAAAATGTTGTTTTTGTTTTTGTTTTGAAAATATGTTTTCAATTTAACCCAAAACAGAAGCCTTCTTCTCATCCATATCCATATAAATACATATTTTAATTACGCTGAATCAGCGATTGTTAATTTAGCTTAATGCTTTTCTCCTGCAGAGAAATCAAACGCTTTCCAGTTTTTCGAGTGAGCCGAACGCGGCGCATAAGATTTCTTGATTTTATTGCTTGAGTTCTTTTGTTTTCGCTTACGCTTCGGGGCTTAGGCTGGGTCTGGCTTTTGTCTGCTGCTGCTTCTTCTTCTTCTTTTTATTTGCGCTAAAATTTCCATATAAAAGCCGCCAGCATCGGCATCGTAAGTTTAGTCGTTTTGGAGTTTTAACTGTTGCCTATCGTTCCGTGTTCGTCGCCTAAGTCTTTCGTTCTGTGAGTAGCCGCTCTTCGCCTTCGCCGATCATCTGTGCTGACTAATCTGTGACTGTGCTTGTGAATTCGTCGATAGCTCTGTGTTGGATTAAGCTGAGAATCATGAAGTACGCTGTCATCGCCCTCGCCGTCGCCCTTGCCCTTCTCGCCGTAGCTCACGCAGCTTCCGGTAAGTACGATACCCAGCCGACGCTGCGAGCAGCTTGTGCGTCATCCAAGCTTGGAACTTTGGAAGACATTATACTAAAGTTGAAGATTCAATGCCGCAATTACATCATCGTCTATTAGCGTTAACGCGTTTTGGTTATTAGAAAACAAACTTAACGATTGTTATTATCGTCTTCGTCTTTATTTTATTCATCATTTGCGCCTTTGAAGACGTGTATGCTAATATGTGTATGTGATAAACGCATTTTAAGCTACGCCTAGCACAATATATACAGTCGATTATGTGTATGTGTATAATATATGAATGTACAAATGTACAATTGGGCAGAACATTTTAGAAACTCAGAACGCGTTGTTTAAAGAGACTCTTATATATAAACAAAAATATGAAATTAACAAATAAGAATGCAATAAACCTAATGAGACATAATATGAATCTTATGAAGATGTACTGCCTTCCGTCTTGTCGGTGGTTCGAACCCTAAGCTTTTATCTTAGTTAAGCTTATCGTAGCCCAAGCTGATTGAACTATGCCAGAATACATATGAGAGCATTGTCTGTGAATAAATTATATACAAAATTTAATCAAGTTTGGTTAACACGCATCCATTTTCAATTTCTTAGCTTTTAAGTTTACTTTGGAGTTGCTTTTTCTTGGTGAATTCAATAAATAAATATAAGAATTTAAGACTGTTATTAGAATCGAACCGGCAACTTTTCGTCTGTTATTCCGCTGCTCAGACACTTAAGATATAAAGAGTCTTGATGTCGAACGCGCCAAGCACACTTACCTATATAGCTGAGTTATTTATGTTCTCATCCAAACTTTGCCCAGTGTTTTATGATTGATGGATCGACCCAAAAGACTGTGCGATGATCGTCAAACTCAGTCTTTTACATATATAGATTATTCGATTTTTATTGTGAGCTGAAATCAAAACAAAATCATAGAGTATTACATTGAGCGAGCTATCTTCATTGCGATAAAGTATTCATTTTTTTTTATCAGGTTTTTTTTTCCTTTCTGTCTATGTGTAACGTGTGACAAAATAAATCAACTTTTTCGTTTTTAAAAATATATGTAGAAATGTCGACTTTTGGCTAAATAGCTAAATTCCAGCTAAATAGTATTAATGATAATAATAACAAAAATAAGAGTTATACTGATAATAAAAATATCAATATCCATATTTAACCGTATAGTTAAAAATTTATACAATTAAGATAATTGATTTTGAATAATAATATATATCTTTATATATAAAATAGCGTTTAGCCTCACTGAACCCGGGCAATGCCAGGTATATATATAAAAACAAAACAGGGAAAATAAAAAACCACTGTTTTTTTTATCTTTGTTACTTTGTTACATGAGAGGGGTGGGCCAGGGGTGGTTTGTATAGAAATAGACACGTGGGGAATACTACCCGGCTTATCCAAAATGCTTGTGGACAAAGACGCCACGGGTTATGCTAGTAAAATATACAAAAATTAAAATTTAAAATTGTTATTTGCAAGAAGTGAGATATAGATAAATAGCTTATATATATATACATTATATGTATTGAAATATAATGACAAATATAAATTGATATATAATGATAAAACCCGGATATCGTATTATTAATCAACCGTTTCCCTTAGTATATATGACAAACGTAATTGTAAACATTAAACTTGAGACTAAATCTATTCACATTTTGCAGATGCCGGTCAGTTTGTGCCCAGGGCGTTCTTCACCCTGGACTCCGAGGGCCATCAGTCGAATGTGCATCCGGTTAATGCTCACCTGCTGAAGCGTCTGCGCCGTCAGGTGTTCAGCTCATCGTCTTCATCGTCATCATCCTCGTCTTCATCGGGCAATGGCCACGTTATAACTACATCGAACCAGCAGGTGGTCAATCCTGATGGCTCCACTTACAGCGGAGGAACCATTCAACACATTGCACAGTGCGTAGAAGTTGCCCAAATTAAAAGTGAATAAAACTAACTTCGGTATTTCCCTCTATTTTAGACCTGTCGTCGAAATAGGACAACGCTTCGGCGAGGATTCGGCGTCGAGCTATGCCAAGCCGGCAGCCAGCAGCTTTGGAGCGCAGACTACGGGTAGCCAGAGCTACGGCACGCCTCAAGGAGTTGTCATCAGCTACACGGGCTCCACAGACGCAGCTGGCAACCAGAAATATCACGAAACTCATGGCACCATCGGCAACGATGGCCAATGGAGATACAACCAGACGAACATCGTCTATCCCCGTAATTAAGAGCAACAGCTCACAGCCCACCTATATTTAGAAATATGGCCTGTGGCCCATTGATGTGTAATAAGAACTCAAATTTACAGCCACAGTTCCGCACAGTTGTTTTTTTCTTAAAGGTCATTCAATTGGTTTCAAGTGGGCGTTATGGCACGCCCACTGCCTCTGCGGTTGCGCCAGGCCTCCGCCTGGCAGACACTTAGATGATTGCATCCCGGTGTTTAATTTCGCAAAAAGTGCACAGCCTGCTCCAGTGCGCACAAACAATGGTAAGTGGGCGTGTGTGCGTGAGAGCAGTGTTGGTAAATGCTTTCAGTGAATTTGCTCAGCCAAGCGGAACTCTTGCCGAGCAACTACCTCCGAGGCTGTTGCCGCTGATTAAAGGAACGAGTAGTGCCGCGATGACAAATGGCAAACTATGATGTCAGGCTGCCTAATGGGTTCGGGTTCGGGTTCGGGCTTGGGGTTGGGCTTGGGGTTGGGCTTGGGAATGGGTTAGGGGACACGCGTGTAAATCAAAAGTTGCAGCAGCCACGACAAGATATGAATATGTTATTTGCTTGGGGAATTGGCCAAATCTCAACAGGTACACGCACTTTGGCACCGGCTCGAGCAGCTTGCGTATTAGCAGCTATAACGGCCAAAGTCGCATTGAAAATAAGTTAGCAGCTAGACTGCTCGACTTCAGAATACCCTGCACAAATTTGTATTCAAATGCACCTTCCTTCCCTTTACTCAAGTAAGCATACCCTTTTCGGCAAGCGTATCGAGTGATTTTGTCGCTCCTTCCAGCTTTCGTGGGCGACCTGGCAAAGGCTGCAAAACTTTTGCCAACTTCGCTGGCTGTCGACTTGCTGCACGGCTTTTCAAAAGTTTTTAATTATTATAATTAATTACTTTGATCTCTGCTGCCGCAACTGTTTTGGGGCACAACTCCTGACTGTTGGCTGTTGGCGCAGCTATTAATTTACTTGATTATGTTGGGGTTTACGGGTAATTCGTTTAGACGAATTCTGCCTTCTGCCTTCCAAGTACTCGTTCCGAGTGGCGCATGTGTGCGTCGACTTTTATCATAATTTATTCCACGTATTTGTGAAAGTGTAATGAATTTACTAGCGTATGCCTTAAATCAAACCTAACATCGTATATGGCTCGTGTACGCGCTTTTATACTTTACAACAAGAATGACAATTTATTTATTTTTAATTTCAGTTGAATCCATTTACATCTTATCCTAACAAATCCTATTAATCGGAATCCAGCTTTATTTTCTGGCTATTAATATTTGGTAAGTTCCATCATAAATGAAAGATTCGCTTCGATTTAGTTGGAATATGCACACTTCGTATGTAAATATGAATAAATGGTTGTTTTTGTAAGTTGCATCTGGCGGCTTCTCGCTGCTCGCTTCTCGCTGCTTCTCGCTAGGCGGCAAATGATCGCAATTTGATGGAACTGTCATGACCACTGTGGCCGGGGAGAAAACCCATCGAATGCTCCATGCCATGGGGCATACGCAAAAAGCACATAGCTGCAGTCGTGTTCTGAATTTTTATGAAACAAGATTGGCGGTGGCACAAAAAGCGGGCCACTCTCTGATTGATGGGGAGTCAAGCGGAGACAACTTGTAGCTGGGGCATGGAGCGCAACAAATTAAGCAACTTGTGTGGTCCGGCCACCGCAGAAGACGCCACCTGGCCAGAGAGTGGCCACGGTCCGATCGGTCCACCGCGACCACCATACCCATCTCAGGCGATGCCAAATTCAGTGCACAAAACCCAGCGCCGACTGCCGCCGGACACGAGCGCCGATTCCAATGCCGATGCCGCTGCCTCTGCTGCTGCCTCTGCTGCTGCCTCTGCCGCTGCCGCTGGCGACGCTGGCCAAGTGACATTTTATTGGCGTCCGAGAGCAAGACGGCCACTTTTTGCTATTTAGAGGCATGAAAGCAGCGGCGGGTCCTCACATGGATAATTGACAACAGTTAATTCCATTGAGCTGACGCCGATATGCCCGCAAATTTAATTATTGGCTCGCTGATGGTGATCTCGACGAGTCTGGGTGGGCGGCAAGGCAGCCTGGAATGGGGCCTGCAAATGTTGCCTCACGCTCAAGACTCCTTCCACGTGGGGGGTGGGGCTGCCCATCAAACTAAATTCGTTGCAATCGGCGAGCTAGTAAAGCAAACAACAGCGACAAAAACAAAGCAAATCAACAAACTGTTGACAACAGCCCAAACGAAAATCGCTTGACAAATTTTTGCCATTTCAGCGGAGCTGCTCGGGATGGATGCCTGCGCATCTGCAGCAGCAGAAGCAGAAGCTGTTTGCCTGGATCTGAACACAAGAAAAAACACAAAAAAAAAGGAAAGCATAAAAAACTCTGTCGTCGGAAGCGGAAGCACAGGCAGATTCAGATTCTGCCTCATCACAAGGACAAGGACGAGGATGGGCGTCCAAGTGGCGTCCACCGGCAGTGCCAACTATGGGGAATGGAAATGCATTTCGTTTACTGTTGACTTAAATCGTTTAGGTAAAGTTAAACAACTTGTTCGCTTAATTGTTAAACAATGCTCTGCCAGTCGAGTTGAAAGTGAAATAAATCCAGGGACTGCGCTGAAGTCCTGCCGATGCACGAATAATTGATGAGAGCCAAGGAAGGAGTAAGGGGGTCAACAGGAGAATCCACGGAAAATATACTAACTAAATGCTTTAAGCTAGACAGTCAACTTCATTTTGATCTGAACCTAAAGTTCAATCTTAAGACTTGCCTCTATCCACACACTAGAACGAGCACAACCGATCTTTCTATAATAAATATAATTATAATAATTATTATTAATTGTTTATATTATTAATAATAATTATTAATAATAATAATAAAATTTACTTATCAGTCAAAAATATTTAATATTTATAAATTCATTCCTGATACTTGATAGTACTCTAAATATAGAACTAATAAGTAACCAATAAAATGATGGCCTTATCTATTGATTTGATTTTCCATTAATGCCAACCATGGCAACTTAGCCAAACGCGGCGTGGATTTAATAAAAGAACTTTTCCATTTTGAGATGCATATATTAAAATCAGATAATAATTATTGCTTAATATCTAACTAGAGTGCATTAAAAAAAAGAGTTTGCGGCTTGTCCCGCATTAAATCCGATAAATATATGAGCATGGAGAAAATATATATAAATCTATCCCATCCTTGTTAATTGATCAAATGGTTATTTTCTATTTTTATTTACTTTATTTTAAAATTGTACGAAAATTATATATTTGTATGTTTGTAAATACATTAAAAAGCTTATGGCTAAAAAAAATAGAGAATTTACTAAAACTGTTTGCAACAATTAAATATATCATTAACAAAGATAAAAACAGTTTTCAGGCGTAATTAAAATATCAAAACTTATATATTTAATAGTTTTTTACAGAGAGAATTTCCGCTTAGTTTCCGTTTGTCGTTTTTTGCTTTTCAAATTTTGTACAAAATATTTATTTTGGGTCGCCAACTTTAATTGACGTTGTTAATGAACCATTTTATACAATATGTGCACTTTCTGACATTTAGTTATTTGTTATTTTTGGCAGCGAAAGGATCGGTAAGTGCAGCCCTTCGAATTGCCCAAAAGGGTGGAATCCGACCCAAAGTACAGCATCATAAACAACATCCAGCAGCCATATCTACATATGCACATACTACCTACCAGTACTACAACAATACCAGTTCGTATTTGGATTTTCCTTGACAGCCCCTGGGAATTCCCATTCATCCACCTACTCGTGCGTGGCTCTGTGGCAAGCGAAATGCTTGACAATGCGGAATAGAAGGCAAAAAAAAAACATTCGAGTACATATGAAATATTAAACCAAATTTCAAGTTCATGACTCTGGACACATTTTGGAGACTTTGCCCCTTTGACAACATGTTGCAGCATTGCGAGAATCGTGGTCATTATTTAAAAATAAAAGCCCTGTCAGATATTATCTATAGTTAACCTCTTCTTAGCTAAAATGATTTCATTTTTTAATTATATTTAGATAAATGTTGTTAAGAGCCGTATAAAATTCCTTAGGAACTAATCCCCGAAGCTGTGCTTTATTTACTACTTATAAGAAACGGAGCTCGAATCGGTTTCTGCTTAAGTTGATCCAAGGCATTGACCAAATTTGGCTACGTCTACGTCTTTCAAAACTGCGCCAGCTGAGCGCGCGTCGATAAAGCAGTGCGCGCCAAGCGAATGTTCTCTTGCTGCTGCCAGTTCTCTTAACGCGTGAAACGCGCTCTTAGCGGCTGCCTTAGTTTGTTCTTATTGGTGCTTTGGAGCTTTGCAAGCGCATAAGAAAAACTAATGGCCACAGCCCATTTTTGATTGTCTGCACAGATTGTCCTTGGTTATCAGACAAGAATTTGTTCAGACTTAGGTGCAGATTTGGTATTCGAGCTTATTATTGGGCTTTAATATTTAAATAAATTCCTTTATAAATAAAATAATGTTCTGCAGCTGTTAAATAGCCTTTGAATACAATAAAAAAGTATCTTCCAGAGTCTGCTTCGATTCAGGTGCAAATTAGTTTTTTAAGATTATTATTATTATATATAATTCGATATTTTACATCATAAATCAAATTTGTTTTCTGGCTCACATTTTTACATTTATTAAAATATTTGTACATAATTAAATTAGTATATTTTTCAAATTTTGAAAAAATGAAGTAAACGAATTCATATATGTAAAAAATCGGAAATAATCAAAGGTCTACATAGTTCCGATTTCCCCTGTTGGATTCTGGGCGCGAGTCCTCATAAAAACTTGTCGGCAACATTTTTATTTATTACGGTACCTTTAAGGTTAGAAAGCAAAACAAAATAAATATTAAAAAATTCAAATGCATTCTAATTTTTTCCAGCGTTTGTTTCGCCCTTTTCAAATCTGTGGGGCGGGGCTGCTGTGAGACAGAGGTAGATAGTCCTGAAGGCAACAGAAATGGTATTAAAAATAAATTGCTCCTTCCTCTCTGCGCTCATTTAATTGAATTGTGCTCGCAATTCAACGTCAAAAAAATTTCCA